AGTGAGACCCTGTCTCAAAAAAAAAAAAAAAGGAAAAAAGTTATTCCGTGTCCATTACTGACTGTGGCCACATGGAAGAACACATATTTCTCAAATGCTTTACAGCTTTCCCTGCCCTCTTCCCACTGGTGTAGATTTGAAGGGTAGGGATAATTGAAGAGGAAGGTCAAACCCGGCTTTGCTGACCAGGTTTATGGTTTCTTTGCCAATACAGTGCCTCCAAAATCTTAGATGGCTTTTGATTGATTTGAGTGGCTACAGCCACTGGTCTTATGCAAACAACATCTTTATGTCAAATTCGCTAGACTTGGTGTTCTTCTTGTTCTCTCAAACAGGTGTTGACCCTCTTGAGGCTACCTGACAAAGCATGCTTGGCTATAAAGGGAGCTCCCTTATTCTACTATCTGCTCTTTGAGCTGGTTCCCATTGTCTGCAGAAGAACAGGGCGTTCTTGGGAAAGGATTGGGAGCCCAGGCTGCCTCTTCCAAATGACCTTTTACAGCTGCCTGAGCACATCTCTCTTGCACAACTTTGCTAATAGCAGCAAACTGCGGTCAAGACACAATAGCCTGAGAATTACCAGTCAGCTTCCATGAGTTACAGGCTCTGTGGAGCCCTTTCCCACAAATACACAAAATGCTACACCTAGAAAGCCCACATCACCAATTCCCACTCACAAGTGATGTCCCAAGCCACTTTGACAGGTACAGAGCTCTCTGGATTTCCACCACTACCTTTTTCTACAATGCTCTGTTTTCCATTTTCCACTCCTGGGGAATTTCAGAAAGATGGCGGAGTGGCGAACAGAAGAGAAATACCCTCTCCAAGATTTGGTGTCCAGACGCTGGAAGATAGCAATGTAAGGAAGAGAAGAAGGAAGGAGGTGATCTGAAGAGAGAATTCAAGCCTACAAGAAGATCAAAGAGAGAGACCTCAATGCAGAAGAAAGAGGTGTCAAGCAGCACTTTCTCCCTGGGCCCTGACTCACTGCATGGGAGGGGTGGCTTGAACCTGCAGTCTAATAGTGACCACTGGCAACCCCTGAGGCCTCCATGGAGAAATGCACCAGTGCAATGGAGCAGTGGACACAGTTGACTGCAGTGGCTGATGAGTTTTTTGGGTTCAGATTGGCCAGTAGCCATCTCAGAGAGAGGCCAACTGAGGTTGGAACTCAGACCATCTGCATGCTGGCTCCATCTAGTGGCTCCCAGGGCCAGAGTGAGGTAGAACTGAGTTCAAGCTAGCAGGAGTCACACTGAGTGTTGCAGGCTGGAACAAATCAGGTTCCAGCCTCACAGCCAGAAACCAGCCTGAACTTCATGGAACTAAAGGTGCAGGCTTGCTGAGATTATCCACCACCCCACCGTAAATCTAAGGCTGGCTTTCTGTGATAACCAACACAGATCTTAGCTCTGTCTGCTCACTCTGTCTACCGGTAACAACAGAGACAGGCCCTGAAGTGGATACTTTTCTCTCTTTTTTTCTTTTTTCTTGTTTGTTCTTGTTTTTATACTGGTGTGAACACCGTTTCTCATTTTTTTTGTTGTTGTTTTTCTGTTCTGTTCTTATTTTTATTTCTTCCTTCTCTCTTTTCCTCCTGTCATCTTCACCAGTTTCCCAAGTTTGTGCAATCTTCCTTTATCCTTCAGCCTTGCTTCTAATCTTATCCTCTTCATCTATTTCTCTATTTTTCCCCCAACCCCTTTTAAATTTTCTCCCCTGAGGGTAAAATTGTCATATTGAGGTACTGTATACAATTTTCTGGTTTGTTTTAGATATTGTTATATAATCACAAATATATTCATTTGATTAAAGGTGGCAAATTAATAGTTGTCATTTTCTAGGCTATATTTGATGCTACTGTTATTGTTGATTGTACTACTTTAGCCAAAGTGACATGATTATTCTAATCAGTTGTTCTTTCTGGTATTCCAAGACTGAGTTTGCCTAAGGGTCATAAACAATACTAAAGGCCAGAGCCAAAAAACCAGGGGTTAGGCCAAATAGGCAGCAACTTCTCATCTGCAATACATTTAAGAGGTAGGATCTTGCAACAGACTCAAAACCCAAAAGCCAGCTACACCTGGAAGACATCTCTGAGAAATAGTCATTTCCTAAGGTTCTAAATACTAGCAATGAAACTACTTTCCATAAGTAATTTACAAGCATCAACTCAGGAATTAAACTGAAAAAAAAAAAAAAAGAAAGAAAATGAGAGGATACTTAAGCAAGATACAACCCTAGGCTTCAAGCTCAGCAAAGGCAAACCCAGGGGACAATAAGATGGAACTATTAGAAAGCCACCCACTTGGACTCTGAAATGGTAATAGCAGAAATAACGAAACAGAAAATGAGGCTCTAGAAAAAATCAAATCAAAAGTAATCTCTCAGATAACTATGGAGATGATGACCATAACGAAAGACACAATTAGTGACTCTAGTGCAGATACAGATAAAAAAAAAAAAAGAGGAGCTTAGGAAAATGATGGAACTGTGAATGCCCAACATAGGAAATAAATGGAATCCATGAAATAGATTCAAAGAGATATGCAGAAGATTAAAAATTTCATTGAAAGTATACACAGCATAATAAGCCCATGTGATGACAAAATATCAGATCTAGGAGACAGGATTGAGGCTAGTGATCATGGAAAGAAAGATTTCTTAGAAATAGCAAGGGGCCATAAAAAAATCAATCCAACAGCTGCTATATGATGCAAAGAAGAATAACATTAGATTGACCAGAATCAATGAAAAAGCAGGAGATAGCTCAAGTGACATTTTCTACTCTGCAGAGCCGCCTCTTTAGTGAAGTCTTCCCTGACTGTATCACCAGATCTTATGGATCTCCTGAAATAGCATGTGCCCTTTGTGTCCACGTCAGAGAAGAGTTAGGCTGGACTCACACAACTGTTCCATGTGCAAACTTCATCTCTAGCTCCATGGTGGGCCCTTTCATGTCCAAAATATATTGACTGGATGTAACAAAAAAAGTCTGTGTTGGGGTCAGACCTGATTAAAGCTTCTGCTTGGTCCTTTGTTTATCAGGTCACCCTGTTTTCTCTGAGACTGTTTCCATGAGTATAATAAGATAAAGATGAAAATGTTCTGTGACAGAGACTACCAGTTGCTGCCTACTTTCTGTTTCTTTCTCTTCTTCCTTCATAATTGAGTCACTTAATTTTTTTACCTCGAATAGCTGCCCAAAACTTCAACCTTCTTTAAAGCAATACAGTGCTTTATGACTAAATTTGGCCAATGCAGTGTGAGTGGAAATGATAAGAGCAACTTCCAGGTCAGGCCTTAAAAACAAAAAGTATGAGTTCCCCCTTTTCTTTATCCTTTCTGCTGGCTGGAAAGCTAGTACAATGGCAGGAGTGAGAGTAACTATCGAAGGCAAAAGATGCTTTGAAGGGTTTCAGGATCACCAACCACCTTTAGACTGTGTATAAACTATTCTACAAGAGAAAGAAACTTTCTTGTTTAAGGAATTCTGAAATTGGGTCTTTGTTACAGAAACCAAGTATCTATCCTAACTCATGCAGAACTTGTTATTTGGAAGTGGGGCTGCTTAAAAGCCTAAAACAAGTGGCAGTGACTCAGAGGCTGAACAATGGATAACAAGGAAAAAGGTTGCATACTGGTAAACTATTGACCATTCCAGTAAAACACGAGGCATGTCTCTCACTGTGATGCCCTGGAAGCAAATCACACACCGATGGTCTTTCCACTGTCTGAGATGTCCCATTAGCCAAGTGTCCTTCGTACTCTCTTCACTCCACCTTCCCTGCAGTCAGCACAGACACTTCGAGGGATGATAGCAAGTATGCTTAATAAATTTAGCAAGAAATCCAGTAGTAATCTGCCAGGCATAGTAGTGCACAGCCGTAATCCCAGCTACTTCAGGAGCCTGAGGCAAGAGGATCACAAGTTCAAGGCCAGCCTGGGCAGTTTAGCAAACTCTGTTTCAAAATAAATTTTAAAAAGGCTGAGGATGTATTTCAGTGGTAGAGCACCCCTTGGATTCAATCATCCCAAGTGCTAAAAAAATAAGGAAGGAGGGAAAGAAAGGAAAGAAGAAAAAGGGGGGAGGGAGGGAGGGAGCAAGACAGAAAAAGAAAAGCAGTAATTTATTACTTGGTGTCCACTCCAGAGCCAGGGGCTGGGATGGAAGAGGCTGGTAGGAGGAGAGGAAGGGAGGGGCATCAAGAGGGGAGCCAGAGCAGCTGGGTCAGCATTCCCGACTGGGACACTGACTCAGGCCCCAGGAATGCTAAGGAAGGGGGCGGGCAGCCACTGAGCCAGGCTGGGATCCGGTTGGGACAAGGGGATGCAGGGACAGTATTCACAGAGGGATGGGCCTGGGCTCCTGCACACCTAGACAGCTCCTAAGCACAGGTGGATCTCTGCCTCTGCGGGAAAGAGTGGGCCGCGAGCCCTCAAGGCCACGCGCACCGTTGAGGTGATGAGCACAGCTTCCCACCTGAGCTGCTCTCGCTACCTGAGAGAGGGACAGGCTCTTTGGACTCAAGTAGGGACATCTGGATATACACTGGCTACTCTCCCAGGACCATCCACAAGCCCCCTGTCCTACCCCCAGCCCCGAACTGGCCAGTTTGTTCTAATTCCAGCGCCAGCCCTTACTGAAGTTTGTACAGGAAGGAGTTAAGCGTCACACCTCCCTTTCCTTTCTAAGGCACCTGAGGCAGCTGAGAGGCTCTAGAACTCTACCAGCCCCAAGCCCCCCAGCTGCCTCCCCACAGCCGGGCTCTTCTAGCTTGTCCTCAGAGACCTCAAACAGATGAGGCCCAGGCACCAGCTTTCCCAGGTGCGCCCCTTCCTTGCCCAGTCCGCCCCCAGGCTGCGGGGCGGGAACAGCTGCGCGGGCGGACCCCTCCTTCAGTGTCTGCTGCCGGATACCCAATCAGAGAGAAACTGATCCGGCCAGGGCGAGCGCCAGGGGCTGGCCCAGAATAGTGCTGCCCAGCTCTTATCGCGCACTCGCACTCGCTGGCTTGGGCTGAGGCTGGCCGCATGGAACCCGAACTGGAGCGCGCTCGGGTACAGGGGTCCCAGGGGGCGGGCGCGGAGCAGCTGGCTCTTGGAGCGCAGCGTGCGAATGTGTGTACGTGTCTGCTGGTGCGTTCCTCTGTATTTTCTGTGCGTGAGCATGGGTGCCCGCATATATAAACTGTAACCTGTTTGAGGGGCTGGACATGTGTTTATATGTGGCTGTGTGTGTTTGGGCGTGTCTTTATGTACATGTGTATGTGTGTATGACAGACACGTATGTGCCTGCATGTATGTGCATGTGTGTGTGCAGTTACACAGGGAGGAGGACCTGTGGACTTGGCGAGGTCTCCCCACCCTTCAAACATTCCTCTCCCTGTAGACCTCATCCTGGAGCACCCTTGGGGGACCCGAACAGAAAGGTAAGTAAAATCCTTCTTCTCTCACTTCCTCTGTCCCCCACCTTTCTGGAAACTCTAACTCCTGACCCCTAACTGGGTTTTTGTTTGTTTGTTTGTTTGTTTTTAAATCAGGAGAGGTCCTTTTCTTTTCTCTGGTTCATTGTTTCCTTTCCCCCCTCCCCCCAATCTGTGTCCCTCAGTTCTTTTTTTCTCTTTATGAAGATCTGGACCCTAGTACTAACTTTACAACTTCTTAGCTGTGTGATTTATGACAAAATGCTTTACCTCTCCAAATTTCTGGTCCCTCACTTGTAAAATAGGAATAACAGTGCTTCCCTTATAATGCAGCTATGAGGACAGAATGAGAAATATGTTGCAGAAAAAGCCCTTTGGAAGTCTACAAATATAATTATTAATAATATATTAATTGATTTCATTGTACTGCCTCCCGTTAACCGAGTAGGCCACATTCCCCCTTCCAGAGATGAGCTTTCTGGAGCAAGGTGGCAGCCTCTTGTGGCCTTCACCAGCCGTGAACACCAGCTCAGAAAGAATCTCTGGGAAACCTGGGACCAAAACATCGTTGAGGACAAAGCAGGAGGCTGCAGAGCAGCAGGAGCCGCCAGGTCTGGAGGAAGGTGAAGCCAAGGCCAGTTCTGAGGAGGTGGGAGCTGGGGCAGGGGCTCTGTGTTGGATACCTCCATGTGCAGAGTTGCATCCAGCCCTCATCTGGGGGCCTCAGCCTCCCTAAATGCCAGAGAACAACTGCTTTGAAGATCTATGGGCTTAGTGCAGTCACCTCGGAAAGACTGGACAGAGCTGCTGTCAAATATGATTCTGATCCTTGGCTTCTCCCTTGTTCAGCATCCATACTTCTCCAGGCTACTGTGGGGTCACTAAGACAGCACATGAGAATGTGTTTTGGGAGATGAAGTTACTGTCCTCCCCTCCTTTTCCCCCCAACAGGTGCCTGGTCCAGGCCAGCTGCTGAGTCCACTGGGCTAGAGGCCACATTCCCCAAGGCCACACCCTTGGCCCAAGCTGTTCCCTTGGCTGTGGCAGGGAACCCACCCACAGGGTGGGACCTCCCCCCTGCTGATTGTGCAGCCTCTGCTGTGGGCTCCAGCACAGATGATTTGAAGCTCCCCATGGAGTTTCCAGCCCCAGAAGCCTGGGACTGTGAGCTCAAAGATCTGGAGGAAGACAGACCTGCCCTGAGCCCTTCCCCACAAGCTCCTTTACTCAGCCTTGGATGGGACGATGAGTTGCAGAAGCCAGGGGCGCAGGTCTACATGTACTTCATGCAGGAGCACACATGCTATGATGCCATGGCAACCAGCTCCAAGCTGGTCATCTTCGACACCACACTAGAGGTGAGGCCCCAGCTCCACCCCACCTGAGCCTGGCCTCCATTCTAACAGCACTGTAGCCACCACTCATATCTCCAGGATGTCTGCCAAACCATGTCCCTCTGCAGGATCCCTTCAGAGATTCCTTCTTAGCACCATGGAGACCAATGGGGGAGCATGCTCTGTGAGAGTGCTCTAGTTGTCATCACTACTCTTCCATTTAGTGTCTGTAAAACATTGGTTAGGTCACTTTTCCTCTGTCATCTTTAAAATGGGAACCAGAATGCTTGCTTTTCCCTGAATGTTTCAGAGGAATCTCAGGACAAGCCACCACAAAGTAAGGGAGCTTTATAAACTGTGAGATATGTGTAAGACACTGCAGAGCCACTCAGGACAAAGAGTAGGGAACTCTTGGTACTAACAGAAAAATAGGATGAGCTCCAGTACTGCTCTTCCATTAACTAAGCTACCAAATGTCTATACTCTTATTCTTGTCATTGTTTCAGTTTAGCAGATGGTGTATATCTGCCTGAAGCATGGTGTGTGTGTGTGTGTGTGTGTGTGTTATCTACAGTATGCAGATTAGTTCTACCAGTTCATGAACAAGTACATTTATTTCAATAGCTTGGTATTAATTCTAATGTTTATTAGAAAAATACAAAGAGCCTGTGTAGGTAGTATTGCTTAGAACGAGGGTCAAAATGCGTCAATATAAAATTTATTTAGAGAAAAAAACTATGTAACTGTGCAAATACTATGTAAATAATTACATCTTTAGTTTTTAGACTGACAAACATTGTACTGTTTATACACATGACTTCCAAGTGGAAACACTGAGTTAGTTTCTCACAGGCAGATGTGTCTGGTGAGGGTCCCTCAGTGCCTCTGGTCACAGGCAGCCTTTCACTCACTCTGGCCAATGTGCCCAATAGTGATTGTGTCCAGTGTGTGCCGTGACGTGGTGAAGACAGGCAGGTTGGTGCCCAGGAGGACCTGAGAGAAAGTCCCTATGGAAGGACCCTCATGAGGACATGGGGAGGCAGGAGTGTGCCCACTGAGGGGCAGTGACAGAGGAGGAGGAGACCCTCCTGGAACTGACCCCCCAACTGTTCTTTCTTGCCTTTCAGATCAAGAAGGCCTTCTTTGCCCTGGTGGCCAATGGCGTTCGGGCAGCCCCTCTATGGGACAGCAAAAAGCAGAGTTTTGTGGGTAAGGAGAGTCTGGGAGGACAGAGGTGGTAAGAGTGGCAAGGAGAGGCTTCATATGGTCAAGGATAGTGGCATGGCAAGTGCCTTAGCTGGCCTATACCCCAAGACTATCAGCTAGCCTTGCCCCTGTGCCTTGTCTACCCCTCAGGGATGCTCACCATCACAGACTTCATCCTGGTGCTTCACCGATACTACAGATCTCCTCTGGTGAGGAGCAGGCTGGGGCTCCCAGCGGGCAGAGGGGAGTCTTCAGGGAGCCTGGTGCCTGTGGGGTCCACCTCTGACTTCCAGAGTCCTGTTGATGCTTCTAGGTCCAGATCTATGAGATTGAACAACATAAGATAGAGACCTGGAGGGGTGAGTTGGGAGAGGAGCTGTGGGGTTGAGGGTGGTACCCAGAGTGTGAGGCTGAGAGTGGTAAACTGTGGGGAGTTCCTAGGGGCGCAAGGCAATAGCGAGCCCTCGGTGCCTGTAGGAAGCGAAAGAGTTGGTCAGTAGAGTGTGGTAGCTGCAGCTCCCTTGGCTTAACTCCTTTTTCTGCAGAGATCTACCTTCAAGGCTGCTTCAAGCCTCTGGTCTCAATCTCTCCCAATGACAGGTAAGCATCCCTACCTACCCACCTGGGCCCCTTCTCGAAGTCTCCTTCCCCCACCCCACTCAGCTTTGAACCCCTTTCTCATCCTGGGAAGCAGATAGACAGGCAGGGTTGGTTCCTGTCCTCCTATTTAGGAGGCAGGGACATAGGCCAGGCTGCCCCAGGCTCACTGCTTTCACCCCACGCCCCCAGCCTGTTCGAAGCCGTGTACTCCCTCATCAAGAATCGGATCCATCGCCTGCCAGTCCTGGACCCCGTGTCAGGCACGGTGCTCTACATCCTCACACACAAGCGGCTGCTCAAATTCCTGCACATCTTTGTGAGTGCAGGCCCAGTCGGGGAGGTGAAAGGGGGAGCCAGGGAGAGGCCACAGAGGAGCCAAGTCTCTAAGCCTTGATGAGGGAGGAGCTGGGAGCCCTGTGCAGGCTGCTTGAGCTCTGGTCATCACCCTGTCCCTACCCCAACCAGGGGGCCCTGCTGCCCCAGCCCGCCTTCCTCTGCCGCACTATCCAAGATTTGGGCATTGGCACATTCCGAGACTTGGCTGTGGTGCTGGAGACGGCGCCCATCCTGACCGCACTGGACATCTTTGTGGACCGGCGAGTGTCAGCGCTGCCTGTCATCAATGAATCTGGTACCAGCACCAGCGCGAGAAGTTCTGGCCAGGCCCAGGGGAGGAGGGCATGGTGGGGAGAACATGGGAGAGATAGACTGAGGAAGGGCAGGAGTCTATGTGACATCAACTTGGAGACCCAGGGAAGAGGTGGTTAGAAGTCTCTGCCTTCTCTGAGCCTTAGACCAACCTTTCTGTGCCTCAGTTTCCTCATGGGAAACGTGAATCTTAAGAACATTCGTCCTGACTACACTGGAGGATTTAAAACATTGAGTGAAAAAAACTAAGTGTGTTAGAGGGAACAGCTGGAAACAAGGCTTGTTTAGTTCAGCCCAGCCAGACTTCAATTTCCTGTTCTGGAAAGAGTCAGAGGGACTGTAAGAATGTTTTTTTGGTTAGCCTATAGGTGTAATATATTACAAAATTAAATTCAACATAATAAGCTAGATATGAAGCAGTGCTTTAGATTTATTTTTATTTTATTCTTGTGGTATGGGAAACTAAACCCAGGCAGCACTGAGCTAATATCCCTAGCACTTTATTTTTATCTTTAAATTTTGAGACAAGGTCTTGAGAAGTTGCCTAGGCTGACCTCGTACATATGATCCTGCCTCAGCCTGGATTTATTTTTTTATTATAAAATGTTAAATGAATAAAAGTGATAGAAAAATTATATAATGAACCCCATATATCTGTTGCCTGGATTAACCACTGTTAACATATCACCATAATCAGCTCATCTTTATTTCTTTTTTTAAATTATTTTTCTTTCTTTTTTTAATTCATCTTTTTTTCTGAAGAAGTTTAAATTACTTAACCACATCAATTTCTCTTAAAATAAGTATAAAATTTTCTACATTACCTAACAAAACTATGAATAATGTATTAATGCCGTCTAATATTCTCACCTCTCCATTTCCCCAAGAATATCTTTTTTTTTTACAACTGATTTGTTCAAAGTCGGGTCCAATGAAAGTCCCTATTTTGCATTTCTGTCCTTTGTCCCTCAAGTCTCTTTAAATCTAGAGCTGTTCTCTTCCCCCTTCATCTCCATGACATGTGTGAGTAGAGAGTTTGCAGAATGTGGCACCTTCCATACATGTCCATTTGCTTCCTACAGGTAGTCTTTACCTTGTCCCCCCGTTCCTGACTCCTGTAGACCAGAAGTGATATTTAAAGGCTTCATGAGCTGAGACTATACTTGCGGCTAGAATATTGCCTAAATGACACCATGTTCTCACAAAGTATCTCATCAGTAGGCGCAAGGTCAGGCTGTCTCCCTCTCTTTGATGCTAAGCTGATCTATGGTTCAGATAGGGGTAGCCTGATGCCTCATTACAAAGCCAGCAGCCTCGAGGATGTCAAATTCATTTCAAAACTCTGTCTCAGACCCTTGCACAGAACCCTGGTTCTGATGTGGGCCTCTTTCCCTGTCTTTTCTCCTCCCTCCCCCTGCAGGTCAGGTCGTGGGCCTCTATTCCCGATTCGATGTGATTGTAAGTGTTTCTGGGGACTCGGGGGGTGCTGCAGAGAGGCTGCAGTACGAGGAAGGATGGGGAGTATCTGTGGACACACTTTATAAGTGTGTAGAGGTTGGGGCTGGAGCCTGGGCAAAGGGTGACTCAGAGCTGTCCTCTCCCTGCCCCAGCATCTGGCTGCCCAGCAAACCTACAACCACCTAGATATGAGTGTGGGAGAAGCCCTGAGGCAGAGGACACTGTGTCTGGAGGGCGTTCTTTCCTGCCAGCCTCACGAGACCCTGGGGGAAGTCATTGACAGGATTGCTCAGGAGCAGGTACCCTGTGCCCCACCACATGTGTCCCCAACACAGACAGGCCCTGTTCTTGCACACACAGCTCTAGTCATCCCCGATCTTCAAGCACCTGGCCCGCCCTCCCATTTCATGACCAACTCTTGGCAGCCACATTGGTATGCACCAGGACCTGTCCGCTGGGCCCTCGTGCCAAGGGCCACAGCTGGCCGAGCACTCAGAGCCATCGCCAGCTCACTCCCTGGAGACACCCACTTGCTCCTCTGTTCCTTGGATCCGCCTTGATGCCAAAGCTGCCACAGCCCCAAGGCTCTGCCCCTCACAGAAACTTCTGGACCCACAGGTGCACCGGCTGGTGTTAGTGGATGAAACCCAACATCTCTTGGGCGTGGTCTCCCTGTCGGACATCCTTCAGGCACTGGTGCTCAGCCCTGCTGGCATCGACGCCCTCAGTGCCTGAGAATACCCAAGCCCTCACTCCCAGGCCACCTCCACACCTGGAAGTCAATGAAGGGAGCCGGGGACTCAGCCTTCATCTTCCCTCACCCCTGTTTGCCAGTTCAGCTCTGGTTCAGGTAGGCTTGGCCCCAGGCCATTGGATCAACCCCTCAGTCCTTCTGGGCCCCCAGATCTCACTTTGGAGCACCCCCAAGGTGGCAGTGGTTGTGCTCATAGCTGACTAGCCCCATGAAACCTGCAAAGGCCACCATTTTGTCCCATTCCCAGCTGAGGTCACAGAGGCTGCCTAGGAGGAGTGGACAGAGACAGGGTTAAAAGCTCTCTGGGGAGATTTAGCTGCTCTCTCACCATTCTGTTCCCACAAGGTGTGCGTGCATAGAAGGAAGCAAGCTAATAAACCTTTATTGAATGAAATTTCCATCTTCAGTAAGATCTAAGACTTAAATGGGGGAGTCTCCACCTAGTGTATGATCTCTGATATTTGCTAGGGGCTTGCAAAAGGATGAGACTCGGAGTCTGCCAAGGGCAGTGAATGATAAGATACCCTCATCAGGAAGATGACTCTCCCTCCCTTCTTTGGTCATCCTCTTCCCTTCTCTTCCTCACAGGCTTCTCCAGCCCTCCCCAGTCATCCTTGTCCAGCCTGTACTCCCAGAAGCCCTTGGGCATGCCCAGTCCACCATGGGACAATGACACTAAGGACAGTGGCTGAGTCAAGCCTGGAGACACCTGACCCAGAGGCACTGGGATTACCCCGGGCCCACTCAAGCTCCAAACTCACTCATATTCCCTTCCCCCAACCTGGGTTGACAGTGGTCGCTAGAGTGCAGCGAGCCTGAAGCCCATGGGTAAAGTCATGGGCTCCAGATCTCTCAGCTTCTGGACTACGTTCAGCTCATCTCCTCATGCTGGGTGTCCCAGCTGTTCCTTCCCTAGGGCAACCACTGTAGTGGCACTGTCTTCCTACTCTCCTGGCATGGTCATTTCAGGGATGCTGGGGGTCACTGTGGAGCAGCAGTTATTTCTAGAGCTGCCTGTTGGAGCAGGATCCTGTCTCCATTGTTGTCCAGAAAACCTCTTACCTCTCACCAGTGAACAGTGTTCTTTGTCCCCAGTGACTACAGCCTTGTACACAGATCCTCAAGAATGAGCAGTCGACAAAACGAAAACGAAAAGAGTAAGACACGAACTTGGATTTGGCTTCGCTCAAAATGCTAGACATTTCACCTGAACTTGTGGCAAGATCCCTGTGCTTTCTGAATTCAAAGACAAGAAGGAAAACCCGCAATTGGCAAACCAGCAAGTGGCTTTTCTTTTGGCACATACAATGTTATTCCACTGATTTTAAAATATCTTTTATTTATAACAAAACCACAAAGAAAATATTAGCCAATTACTTATACAGTACATAAAACACAGTCCACAAACTCCAATCTGCAAAAACATAACTTTATTTTTCTAACACTGAATAAAATTTCTATTGTGAACCCCATCTTACCAGATGGAGGAAATTAACCTCAGCCCATCTGGGGTCCCTTCTTCATCTTTACCTGGGACTGAGGGGTGGGGGTTTAAGCAATGTAAAGCTCTGCTCCTCAGTCATCAGCACTCGTCCATGCCAGCACCTGTTCTCATCTGGTCATCATCAGTTGGTCACTGGTGTACGTGGTCACTACCGTGTGCCTCTCACTTCCAGAGCCTCTTTGGTTCTGCCTGTGCTCAGGGCATGCAGTTCATTGTGGCTCCTGGTCCTGTACCCATCTGGGTTTCCAAAAGCTCCATCAGGCTGTTCCAATGGGCAGCGTATTCTACTCTGTACTGCAATGTTTTCCCAGACTTTACCCAGGAATGTGGAGTCCAGGTCTCTCCTACCCTTGACATCTCCAAACCTATAGGGGGGATTTGTTATGCATATACCTTGAGGCTTGGCTCCCTTCACAGGGGCCCAGAAGTATCTGCAGAAGTCTCTTGGTGGTCCCCCTACCCCTGGCCTATGAAATCTGTACCAGTGGGGACAAAGGGCCCTAATATATTTTTCCAAGTCTACTATGTGTCCTGAGCTCTTGCCACCCAACTTGAGGATCAGGCTTTTGAGCTTCCAAAGCCAAGACTGGGCTTCTGCTCTGTCACCCTCCCCCATGGCAACAGGCACTGCAAGTCCAGCTGTCCAGTGTGGGTAGGTTACTTTTTCTAAAGTGTGATCCTGACCCCATTACCTCCCTATGCTTCAGAGTCAGACACTTGTGCTTGACTGTCAGACAGTACATGAAGGTATTTTCTCACCAGCCACTTTGCCAAAATCCCAGGGTCAGTGCTGGCTCTACCCTGTCCTACCCAGGAAAGTGCCAGGTTTGGGGCTCAATAGGAGGAAGAGATGGGGATGATCATTGGGTCTGGTCCAAGGGAGGATCTCTCAAGTGTTCTAAAGGAGTCTGAGACAGGCTGGCTCCAATGATGGCTGGCTATGGACAAGCATAACAGGTCAGTCCTTTGACTATGCCTCTGAGAAGAGACCTGCAGTGCTAACAGCAAGGCTAAGGACAGCGCTGGGGTCTCCTCGCACCTTCCTGAGAGCACATGCATCTCTGCATGTCTGTGCTCACTGTCCCAAGGACCCAGAAGATCTCCCCCTTGGGCCTTTCTGTGAAGGACCAGCCCTCCCTGCCTCAGACCTCTACTCTCTTCAACCCCAACCCCCAGCTTCTGGCCCAGCCATGCAACCTTCATGGGTGCCAGAAAAGAACCTTAAAGTTGCCACCAGGGCTGTGACTGCTTCCAGCCTAGCTCAGTGTGCTTGTGTGCAGCCTTCCCTGCTGTGCCCTCCTTCCTGCATATGAGTCTGGGGCTGAGCTGCTCCCAGGTCCTCCTCAGACCCCAAAGGCTCCCTGAGTTTCTGTGACCTCCAGACTGGACTCCCGGGGCCTCCTTTGCTTTCCTATCTCTTGTCGTCACCCTCTCAGTGCCTCTTAACTCCGGATGTGCTCCAGGGTCACCAAGGAAGTTTTGTAAAAAATGCAGAGCCCAAGGCTCATTCCTAGACATGCTAATTTCCTGATTTTGGGGTGGAATCTGGGCAACTATAAAAACTGGAGATATATGACTCCTAAGACATGATGGGCATGCGGCTGTGCTGGGACATAAGTACGGGTGGCTCACTGGCACATGATTGGGCCTATTATTTAAGTATGACTAAAATCTACCAGAAGCACCAAGAGGAGTGGCATAATATAGAAGATATATGGTTCATTAGGCTCCTCAAAACTCTTCTCCCGAGCACCCTTAAATATAGAAGTATTCATTACAAAGTTATGTATGTCCATTCCATGATGAAAAAGTTTGCACTTGATACACATATTAAAACTGGAATCAGAAATAATAACCTGTAAATAAAGCATTACCAAGCCAACAAGCATTCCAAGTTAAAATACCTATAGGACAGGAGGGCATAGACAGCCAGGGAACATTGGCACCTTGTCTATTTTTATCAGAGTGCTGCCTACTTGTTTAAGATAGGCTATTTTCTTAAATGGGTCAAATAAATCAAATATATTAATCCTAATTTGACCGATGAAGTCCAATTAGCTGCACCAGGAACAGCAATTAAAGGTGTATCCGCTATGCTGGATCAACGTCCACCTTTCTGCAATTATCCTGCACCTGCTCCTGTTCCTGCCTTATAGAGGAGAGTCAGGACTGGCCACCAGGGAGCCTCGCTGTAATGCCCCTTCACTGTGACTCTTGGAAACCTCAAAACTCTCAAACCCCAGAAGCGTGCCCTATCACTGGCCTCAGATAGGTTTTGTGTCAGCCTCAAATGAGGCTGTTGCTCATCACCTGCAGAGAGAAAACTGCAAGGGAGGGAGTCCATCCATGAGATCTCACCCATCTTGGAGCTCCTAGGGTGTGTTTGACCAAATTACTGTCCAAGAAAGTAAACTTGCCATTTACAGTAAAGAAGTCTTGTCCAGCACATTGGCATATCCAATAGGCAAGGTTTTCAACTCCTGAGGTAAATGAAAGAACTTGAAGCACATTTGTGGTAGATGTATTTTTCTGCAGGTATATTGTCTATCAGTAAAAAAATCTTTTTAGAAAGGAGAAAAAGATTCTTGGTGGCCATGATGTATTCTGTTTGTCAGGGAATCTTTGATTATCTTCCTTCACTGCTTTCTGCAGGCTTTCTGGTAGCAGAAAGAAAACCTCTGTGGCCAAGGTTTCAGTTTCGTGTCATTAACTACTCATCTCTTCCATCTGTGTTCGGCACTTGCTACAGCTGGGATCTGGAATGTCCCCCAGAGGCCCGTGTGTTAAAGGTAGTTCTCAGGTTGTCATTCCTGGGAAGGTGGGGCCTAGGGAGAGGTCCTTAGGTCATTGGGGGCGTGTCCTTGAAGGGGATAGTGGGACCTTGCCCCTTCATCCACCTCTTTCTCTCTCTCACCAGTACCTGCGGTTGAACTCAGGAGTGAGCAAGCAGGCAAGGTGCCACTACACTACACCCCCAGCTTCTTTTTCTCCTTTGCTTCCAGGCCACTGTATGAACAGCTTTGCTGGAACTACATGATCCCACCATAACATACTGCCTTGCCACAGGGCCCAAAGAAATGGGTCCAATCAATTATGGACTGAAGCTTCCAAAACCTGTGAGCCAAAATAAACTGTTCCTCCTTATAAGGTGATTATCTCAGGTATTGTGTTACAGAACAGGAAAGCTGACTAACATAGCACAGCTGACAAAACTATTCAAGGGAGCCTCTAAAGTTGTGCCTATCCCCATTGAAGTGTGAGGAAATATCACCTGGTCTTTAATGAATCCTCCAAGGACTCCATTCATCTACCAGTCTGTTTAGCTCTTGTTTCTCCTTTGCATTTTTTATTTCTGGTTTGAGGCTGAATTATAGGACCTGGAGACATTCGAGCAGACAGCAGGCTGCCTCAGAACTTCCTGTGGGACCCCTAGGGTGTTGGTGAGAATTTTCTGGAGGTACTGATCACATAAGAAGCTGTTTCTACAATAATCTTATGAAGATGATTTTTTTTGGAGGGGACAGGGTCTCATTATGTAGTTTAGGCTGGCCTTGAACTATGTACCCAGGCTGGTCTCAAACTTGCGGCGATCCTTCTGCCTCAGTCTCCTGAGTGCTGGGATTACATATGCACCACCACCTCCAACTGAAGATGATTTGTGTGTGTGGCACCAGGGATTGAACTCAGGACCTTGCGTTTGCAAGACAGGCACAGTGCTACTGAGCTAGGTCCCTGGCCCCTGCTGAAGATTATTTTGTAGATTTTTTAAAAATCAAGATAGGGACGTGAATTTAGCTCAGTGGATTTAGCCTGCCTTGCAAGCGCAAGAACCTGAGTTCAATCAGCAGTCCAAAAAAAAAAAAAAAAAAAAAAAAAATGGTATCATGTAGAATAATTAGGGCCAGGCATTTAGCTCAGTGGTTCTGGTTCTGCCACCTGCCTCCCAAGGTCCTGAGTTCAATCCCTGGTACAAAAAAAAAAAAAAAAAAAAATGGTATCATGTAGAATAATTAGGGCCAGGCATTTAGCTCAGTGGTTCTGGTTCTGCCACCTGCCTCCCAAGGTCCTGAGTTCAATCCCTGGTACAAAAAAAAAAAAAAAAAAAAATGGTATCATGTAGAATAATTAGGGCCAGGCATTTAGCTCAGTGGTTCTGGTTCTGCCACCTGCCTCCCAAGGTCCTGAGTTCAATCCCTGGTACAAAAAAAAAAAAAATCAAGATACAACTCACATATATTAAAATTTATCCTTTCAGTGTACATAGTTTGGTGTTATGTGTGTAGTATATTCACAAAGTTGGGTAACCATCACCAGTATCTAATTCACCACCCCCACAGAAATTCTGTATCCATTAATAGTCATTTCCCATTTTCCCTTCTTCTTCTCAGCACTTGGCATCTACTTTTTGTCTCTGTAGATTTGCCTATTCTCAAAATTCCATGGAATCAGACCATGGGAGATCACCTCCCTCCTCCCTCCTTTTCTTCTTCTTCTTCCTCCACCTCTTTTTTTTGGGGGTGTACCAGAGATCTAACTCAGGACCTTCTGCTTACAAGGCAGGTATGGTGCCACTGAGCTAAATTCCTGGCCCATTATAGGTGATCTCCTGTGTTTGGTTTCTTTCACTTAGCATGTTTTCCTTATCTATAATGTTGCACGAGATAGTATTTTATTCTTTCTTTCTTTCTTTTTTTTTTTTTTTTTTTTTTTTTTTTTTTGTTTTTTTGAGACAGGGTCTCTCTATGTAGTTGAGACTGACGTGGAACTCACTATGTAGCCAAGGCTAGTCTCGAACTCACAGCGATCCTCCTGCCTCAGCCTCCTGAGTCCTGGGATTACAGGTGTGCACCACCACACCTGGCTCATATGTTTTTTCTTTTTATGGCTGAATAATATTCTATTTGTATGGATATACACAATCTTCATGGAATTTTTGTTTTGTTTTTTGGTACCGGGGATCAAACACAGGACCTTTGCACTTGTGAGGCAGGCAGTGTTGGTGGAGTTTTTATAAATATGGACTTGTCTTCTTCTTAAAATAATTTAATTGAAAAGTAAATATTATATACATATATATATATATATTTCAAAGTGTCTTGATATTTATATGCATTATGAAATGCCTAAATCTAGCTATTCAGCATAAGCATCACCATACAAGCTTACCATGTATGTGTGTGTGTGTGTGTGTGTTTAAAGGACACTTAAAAACTACTCCCTTGGCTGTTATTAACTATACTGTCATTAACTACCATGACGTATGATTCATTTCCTGAGGTCATTCTTCCTGCCTGAGATTTTATGTCCTTTGGCAGACACATCCCAAATCCTTGTACACCTAACCCAGCCTCTGGTAAGCACCACTCTATTCCATGTCAAAGAATTTGGCTTTTTCAAATGCCATCTATAAGATCCATAGCTATAGGATCATGTGGTATTTTCCTTTCTGTGCCTGATTTTGATTAACATAATGTCCTCCAGCTGGGGGTGGTGGCACATGCTTGTAACCCCTGTACTTGGGAGGCTGAGGCAGGAGAATCACTTAGAATTTGAAGCCAGCCTGGGCTACATAGTGAATTCAAGATCAGCCTGAACTATGTGGCATGCCCCTCCCCCCAAAAGTAAAGGCTGACTGGTATTCCATTCTGCATATAGCACATTTTCCTTGTCTGTTCATCCTTGGAAGGACAGTTAGATTGATTCTATGCCTTGGTTGCTGTGAATAGTCTATAATGAACATGGAATGAAAATGTCTCTTTGACATATTGATTTCAAATGGCTTTGAATATGCACCCAGAAGTGGAATTGTGGGATCACATGGTGGCTCTGTTTTTAAGTTTTTGAGTAAATTTCATGCTGTTTTCCACAATGGCTATAGCTTCATGGATTTCATGTGAAACTTCGTGCATGGATTTCATGCAAGATTCTCCTATAAATTCATTGACTGGGCTGCAGATCATGAGTACTGACACTCTTGCCCAGGTGCTAGAAAACCCTTATCCCAAGTCACATCACACAGAGGTCCCCACCCAAGCCCTGGCAGTGGGGTACTCAAGTGGCTTCAGCAGCTGGGCCCTGCTAGTTTGAAGACTTGGCACATTGGGGAAAGCAGAAATCCCCTCTGGTTGGCTTTGTGACATAGATCCTGGCACCATTCCAGCCCCCATCCTCTGTATTTACAAGGAACTTTCACAGATGAGCCCACTGCCCTGTGGGGTAGAGCGCCAAGCTCTTATATGGGAAATTTCTGCTAAACCTCTCTAGGTTTATCGATGTAGATCCTCCTATTCTAGTCTCTTCCCATTCAACAAACTTTTTTTTAACATCTCCTAGATGCTAGTCAGAGTGGGGAATCCAAAGGGAAAGACACTGAACTTGTGCACTCCAGGAGATTCACAGTTGGCCAGAGAGACATTGAGACTACAGGAAGGCGGAAGTGAGGCAGCAGGGGGTTGCTCTCTGCTGACAAGGCAGCTGGGAGTCACTCACAGAAATCTGAGTCCACTCAGGAGCACCGAGAGGCAAGGAGGGCCACATACATTTTTTTAAATTGAGGTATGCTCTAGAGCCTGCAGTTGTAGTGGTAGTTTCTCAATTCTCCTGATTACACCCAACAAGATCCTTAATTGTGTCAGTGCCTACAGGAGGCCACTCCAGCCTGGCCCAGAGCACCTCCAACAAATTTTGTAGAAACTCATATCCTCTCTCTAGCAGGGAGAATTCTAGAAGAGGCCCACGTTTTCTCTCAAAAGAAGGTGGCTTATTTTATTTTATTATTTTTGAAAGGGAGTCACTGTGTTACCCAGGCTGGGCTCAAGTGATCTTGCTGACTCGCCCTCCTAAGTAGCTGGGACTGCAGGGATAGGCCACTGCACCTACATGGTGGCTTCTATGATCTAAAACAGAACTGACCCTGGCACAGTACCACTCCTGGGTGCCAGAATCACTGCTACTGTCCCAGCTAAGGCCTCTGGGTAAGGTCCGGGAAAGAGTATGACATTCTTGGGCTCTAAGGGGAAAGGCAGCAGGGCCTCTCACTCTTTCTAGGTACATAAAAGGTGTTTCCCAAACACAGAAAAGGGTTCAGATGCAGGTTGTCAAAAAGAACAACAAAGACCCCACAATTAGTAGATCTTTTACTTTGTGTCATATCCAATAATAGTAAGGTGCTAGGAATAGCTTGATCTGCTGTTGAAACGATAAATGTGGGGAAAGCTCAGGTGCTGTGGGAAGGGCAGTGAGTTCCTCCAGCCTGTCCGGTCTTCCTTCCCTCATCTGAACCATGTCTATAGCCGGCAACTGCCAAGCCAGGGCTGGGGACTCTGGGGCAAGTGCCAAAGAAGCAGGGGCCCAGCTCAGTGTTGCCTCCGTAGGAAACGCAGGCCCACCTTCTTATTGGGAACCAGGACGATGCGGCCCACCGCCTTCAACTCCTTTGTCTCAGGGGCCAGGACCACCTCATACTGCTGTATCAGCTGGCAGAGACAAAGCACACAAGAACCAGTGGGGACTTGTTCTCCAACCACTGCCGCCCTGAACCTCCCTGCTTCTCCTCCCCACCGACCCCTTCATCCCTCCCTGATGTACAGCCTCTCCCACCCCTCCCCACTCACCCTCGTCAGCAGCAGCTGCATCTCCAGCTCTGCAATCCTGCGGCCCAGGCAGCTTCGGACACCATAGCCGAAGGGCACAGAGCCAAATGGGTGTTGGACCCTAGGAGTATCAGTCTTGCTCTCCCTAAGCCAGCGCTGAGGCTGGAAGCTTTCAGGATCAGGAAAGATGCTGGGGTCCCGGGATATCACATAGTGGCAAAACACAAACTGGGTCTACAGAGCAAGAACAGCATCATGAATCCATTGGTGTAGGACTGTGGACCCTGCTGGGCATTCAGGACCCCTGGCCTCACTCACATTCTTAGGGAATACATAGCCACCAACTTTAACTTCCTTTTCCATGACGATCCGTGAGTTTGAGGGGACCACAGGGTAGAGGCTGCAGGATAAAAGAAAGTCTCTGTCTCCGGAGCCAAGAAATGGGCAGAGTCCCACTTTTCCCTTGCCCATATCCTTTGTCCCTCGCTGAACCCCACCAGCAGCCCAACCTCCTGTTCCTGTCCCATACAAAGACCCTGTGCTTCTGGAATCACATCCTACCGCAGGGTTTCCTTAATCACGGCTTTGAGCAGGGGCATGTGGGCGAAGTCCTTGTGTTGGGGCACCTGCCCCAGGGGTACCACGTCCACCACTTGCTTATGCAAGGCTTCCTGGATCTCTGGGTTCTTTGAAAGGTGGTATAGGGCCCATGACAGCGTGTTGGATGTCTAGAAGAGAGAACGGAAGATAAAGTGAAGGGAGATTTCTAGAAGAGGCCAGCTAGGTGGTGGGAAAGTAATGAGTAGGTGCATCCCAAATTAGGGAAGAATCTTAATTAGCCACAAGTAAAGGAAAAGGGATGAGGGTTATGACAACATTCATGCTAAACATGACTCTCCAGCAGGATGAGAACAGAGAAGATGGTAGCAAGGAGAAGCCCCACATGACATAAGGGCTAGAAATTGGTCCCCTGGAGGCAGAGGTGCTCATGGCCAAGCCCCCAACTCCTCACTTACGTTGCAAATAGAGAAAGTTGTAATTGATATGAATGAAACTCCCCAGATATGGGAGAGCAAGGGGGCCCAGCAGGTGAGGGTAGGATCCTCTTCATACTAAAGGACCAGCCCTAGCAGGGTCACAGTGGCATATGCCTATAATACTAGTGTTTTGGGAGGTTGGAGCAGAAGGATTGCAAATTCAAGCCCAGCCTGGGCACCTTAGTGACTTAGAAGACCCTGTTTCAAAATAAAGAAAATTTAAAAGACTGAGGATGTAACTCAGTGGGAAGGCCCTGGGTTCAATCCTCAGTATGCTGGCTTCAGCTAGGGTGAACGACTCTTTTCCCTTTAGCTCTGCATCCAGATTACAGGAGATGAAGCTACATCAGTCGGGTTCAGGCAGGGGATCACAGAGAATTGGTCCAAACAGGAGCTGGAAGCCCTTGCTTGGTCTCCTTGCTGGCCTGTTCACACACCGTGTCCACGCCAGCCAAAAGCAGCTCAGGCAGGCTGCCCATGGCCTCATAGGAACTGAGCAGCCCACTAGTCAGCAGGAAGTGCAGGTAGCCGGATATCTGGACCCCATCTGGTCCCGCTGTCTGTAGTTGGGCCTCCACCTCCTTTACTTTCTGATCAATCAATTTTTTCCCTGCAGGGGCAATGGAGAACAGGGGAGAATGAGATCATGCTGCTCTACAGCTGCTGGAATGAGGGACAAAGTCCCGACAGATACTGAGAGGCGCAGGCCAGGGAGCCAGTCCCACTTCCTTCCCTGTCCCCCCAGGACTCCTCACCAAAGAGGAAGATGGTATCCCAGCCATCCAGGTATCGCCTCCAGAAGGGCAGCAGGGGACGGGTCCACTTAGGGAGGAAAGTGACATAGATTGAGTTCTGGAACATAATGCCAACAGATTTGATGAAGTTCACAGTGTCCTCAGGGATGGAGGACTCCAGGCAACCAATCCGCTTCTCGAACAGGATGTAGCAGATAGCTAGAAAATGCAGAAGCCATCACAGGAGGCAGAATCAGAGGACATGGAATCCAGGGAGCACTTGGAGGGGGAGCTTAGCCTACCCCAACCCTTTCCCGCTCCTGGCCCCTCTCCCAGCAAGGATACCTTCCAAGGCGAAGTGGTAAAAGAAGTGAGCCATGTCTGACACCTGGTCACCGGAGGCGCTTTCTGCCCGGATCTGGTCCAGCTGAACAATGAAGTCATCAATCACCTCATTTAAAGCATTCGTGTAGAGCGCAGCCTCAGCTGGCTTCAGCATCCGCTGGTTCAGAGCCTGGCGCAACTGGTACCACTGGTGTCCCTCCCTGTGGGACATGGAGGGGTTGCACGAACGTAAGCTTTAATCAAATGGTCTCATCTCACTCTGAGCCCACCACCCACCCATAGAGGTGCGGGAAATCTCATTTTCCCAGCATTTAGAATTATACAAATAGCAAGTTTTAAATAACAGAATCTCAGAACTATAAAAGCTCAGAATCTCATGACAGCACAGTGGAAGTGAGTAAAAAGTAAGCATCTAGAATCGAATCATGGGCTTAATGTGATTTTTTTTTTTTTTTGTACTGGGGATTGAACTCAAAACCTTCTGCTTTCGAGGCAGGTGACAGAACCACTGAGCTAAACCCCCGGCCCTAGAATCAAATCACAGTTCTCATGATCACTGAGTGACCTTAGGCAGGTGACTTAATTCCAGCATGCCTCAGTTTCCCCATGTGTAAGCTGGGCATAATAGGGATGCCTATGTCAGTAAGGTTGTTCAGGTTATTAGGGTGCATAGATCAGTGCCTGGCATATGGTAATATCTTAACAAATACAGACTTTTGAGTATCTTAGAATTATGTGACTCCAGAATCTTGCACCTTTTTTTTTTGGTACCAGAGATCGAACTCATGACCTTGTGCTTGTGAGGCAGGTGGTGGAACCACTGAGCCAAATCCCTGGCCCCTTGCACAGGTAAATGAGAGGAAGCTCTGATGTTCCACTTTCTCTGGGAGAAGAGAAAATTAGGGTTTTTGTTTCCTCAGGTTCTCAGTCTTCATGTTCTGTCTGGCTCAGGGGGCAAGGGGACAGAGGCTAAGGCCACCCTTAGGCAAGGGTGCTCATACGGATGAAAACATGCTTCCCATGGAGGCTAGTGTCGGGGGCTGCCCTAACCTCAGCTGTGCCCCAAACCTGTTACCTTTCCTAAGCAAGCTGGGTACACATCTATTTTTTATTTGATTATTTTATTTTATTTGGGGTGTGTGTACCAGGGATCGAACTCAGGACCTTGCGCTTGCGAGGCAGGCATGGTACCACTGAGCTAAATCCCCGGCCCCACATCTACTTTTTAAAATCTAGTTGAAAAGCAGTAAATGCAATGTGGTTCAATTTCAAGAAGAGAGGAAAATCCTGCATGTACATCTGCATGTTTCTAGGTGAGGAAAGGAAGAATACACTTTGCATCGTCAACACTGGTACCATAGGAGGGTGGCATGCGAATGCAGGGGAGATTTACTGTGGAAATTTTTATGATAAATATGTTTTTTATTTTATTTATTTATTTATTTTATTTTTTAGCTTTTTGAGACAGGGTCTCACTATGTAGTTGAGACTGACCTGGAACTCACTATGTAGCCCAGGCTGGTCTCGAACTCACAGCGATCCTCCTGCCTCAGCCTCCTGAGTGCTGGGATTACAGGCGTGCACCACCATGCCCAGCTACTACTGAATTTTAATGAAGTCTTTAAAAGGAAAAAGAATTTTACTTTAAAGTTATTTATTTAAATAAAACTCCACAGCTAGGAGCTTACTGTTCAGGGAAGGCTACAAAAAGATTAACTAAAGAAGACATGAAAATCAAAATGGACCTGTTTATTGGAACTTAGGGGTGCAGGAACTGCTCCAAGAGTAAAACTCTCCAGCCACAGCTGGAATCGGATTTACAGAGCTTAAATGAAAGCATTTCTGGAGTTGTTAAGCCATTTCTTAGGAAAACAATGCTTATAAAAATGAGGTTTCAGAAATATACATATTAAAATAAAACAAGAAAAGCAAGAGTGTTTTGTTTTGATTTCTGTTTGTTTTGTTTTTATCTTGTTTTGTTTTTAGACAGGTTCTAACTATACAGTCCGGGCTGGCTTCAAACTCACAATTCCGCCTCAACCTCCCAAAGTCCTGGGACTGTAAGCATGTACTGCCATAACCAGCTGCAAAATAGCTCTTGAATGCCTAAGGGATGTAATATATTTAGGAAGTTGGCTTTAGAGTAATGAAAATATAAAAATAGATCACAAAGGAATCTATATTATATTCAGTTCCCATTCTAAATCTGAGCTGCTAAATTACAGGTGGCCTGGCCTGATGAAAACAGGAAACCCAAACCTTGCCTTCAGGGTCAGGTGTCAAGTTAGAGATTTTAAAGAACAGACATTCTGTATTCTGTTCCCAGAACTTCAAATATGGGCACTGGGGTTGTTTTAGTTTTGAAACTGGGAAAGACAAAGGAAAACATACAGTGGGAGATTGAATATATGGACATGAAAGACACCTGAAAGCACCCTTTGACCAGTTCATTTTTCCTAAGTGTCAAGATCATAAATTCTTGAGTTCCGGAAGTGGAGAGGTCTACTGCACCTCTGGCTACTTGTGTCACCTCTGGTGTGTAACATAAAACCTTCTGGACCTCAGTTTCTTTATCCAATAACTCTATCCACTTACGGGCTCATTGTGAGCATTCATTTGTCCAAAGTATTTATAGTGGAAAAGCCAATGAATGTTCTCTGAGTCTCAGCTCACCCCAAGGACTGCTTTGTAAGGCTGAATGTTGGGCTCAGAGGATTCAGGGAGACCCCTCTCTGCGCTTTACCCTACCGGATGCCCTCTTCCTACTCTCTGTAGACCCAGTCCTCCGGGGCCCTCTGTTCCAGTCCCGTCAGGCCCCTGCTCACGTGGTGAAGGGCCCGTATGCCAGGTTCTGATGATCCCGGTGCGCCTTCCATATCTCCATGCTGTCCCGTACAGGGTACTTCTCCTCCTGCCGCATCACTTGCTCCAAGAGTGGGGCACTGGCCAGGTTCACTAGGAGCTTAGAGTCTAAGGAGGATGTCCACATTGGACCATACTTGGCCTTGGTCAGCATCTGTGGGGTTCAATCAAAGCTGAATAACTGGGGTCCAAGCATTTCTGGGAGATCTGATGGCTGCACCAGATCAAGCAGGCTGGGCAGAACTGTGTGGGAGGTAGGCACTGGTATGGCCAGTGGTTCTAGAGGCAGAATACTGAAAAGATGGCCACACAAGGGGCAAGAATATTGAGAGGGATGAGTATCTGATGGAACTGAGGTCCTTGCAGGATATGCGGGAGAATGGGATATTTGGAGGTGGAAACTGGGACCCAGCACATTAGGGAAACACAGCCCCTTAGCGAAGTAAGCGAGAAGGCTCAGGGTTTCTTCTTATCATTTAAATCTACTGCAGCTTGTAGCTTCATGGAAATGAACATAATTGTCTTATATAATAACCAGAAAAATGAAACATAATGAAAAAAGTTTTAAAAAGCAGATGACAAAGGCAGAGCGCTCAAATATGAACTAAGCCATGTGAGATATATATATATATATATCATAAGCCATGTGATATATATATATATAATTTGTACCAGGGTTCAAACTCAGGGCCTAGTGATTGCAAGGCAGGTGGTAGCACCACTGAGCTAAATCCCCGGCTTTGTGGTATATATTTTAAAAAAGAAGAAAGAGAGAGAGAGAAAGAGAGAGAGGAAGAAAAGAAAAAGAAAAAAAGAAAAGTGTTGGTTGGGTAATGTAATTCTCAAGTATTTTCTCTTAAGGGCTAAGGATATACTCCAATTGTAAAGTGCCTGCCTGGCAAGCACAAGGTCCTGGATTCAATCTCCAACACTGAAAAACAATTTATCTTAGAATTTCTTGAGCACTTGGTAACTGGTACTCATTACATCTATGAAATTGACATGGCTGCCATGTATTTATAGTTGAAAATGAGACAAAATAATATATTTTATTATTGGGAAGGCAAAACTTCAAAAGAATCCACAGATCTGAAAGAAAATTTACTGGTTACTCCCATACTGAAAGAAAATAAAACACAGTGGTTTCCCAGGTACTTTTTCTTTCATATTTATTATTACTGAAGAGATTTTGAGAGAATCATGGTCTGCTCCAGTACAAAATTTAGGCCAGAAAAAAAAATTAGGCCCAAAGTCTTCTGTAAAGACATTAAAATTACGGAAAAAGAGATCTGTTTTTCAGATTACAAAAGAATGTATCACCCCATTTAGAATCCAGAAAAACACTATTCAAAATGGATCTCAGTACTGGCCTTAAAAATTGGATTCTTGGGCTGGGGATTTAGCTCAGTGGTTCCAGTGCCTGCCTTGCAAATGCAAGGACCTGAGTTCAATCCCCAGTACCAAAAAAAAAAAAAAAAAAAAAAAAAATTGGATTCTTAGCTGGGTGTGACGGTAAATTCCTGCAATCCCAGCACTCAGGAGTCTGAGGCCAGCCTAGGCTACACTGTGCAGGCTACATAGTGAGTCCAAGGCCAGCCTGAGCTAAGTAGGAAGACCCTGAAGAAAGAAAGAAAGAAAGGAAAGAAAGAAAGAAAGGAAAGAAAGAAAGAAAGAAAGAAAGAAAGAAAGAAAGAAAGAAAGAAAGAAAGAAAGAAAGAAAGAAAGAAAGAAAAGAAAGAAAGAAAGGATTCCCTTGAGACCTGTGCAATTCTGCCTGTTCCCTGAAAGACATTCTTAACAAATCCCCAACACTTGTTTAGGCTTGTCTCCCACTTCTGCCTCCCAATAACGCCCACCTGTGAACAGCTGATTGTAAACCACAGCACATAGGCCTGTTTCCCTTCAGGAAAATAAGTACACGCATGCAAGGCTGGTGGGAGTCTAAAATGACTCATCTTTACTTGGGGCACAATTTGTTAATATTTATAAGAATTACTAACAAATTACAAAGTATGGGACAGCTGCATAATGGAATAATCTTATCATTTTAAAAAGGAACAAAGTTCCTGATACTAATTTGTATACCCATGTGTTTTAATATGGAAAGACACCTAAAATAGATCATTACATTAAAAAAAAGTATAACATCTTTTGTCTAAAGAAGAGGGGCAAAATAAAAATACTTGCCTTTGTAGAGAAATACTGGGTGGATGCATAAGGAACTACTGAAATGATTTCCTACGGGAGGAGGGGAGTCAGTGGTGGGAATAAAACTGCTTAATATATATCAATGGGAATGTGTTACCTATTCAAATGTATAAATCTAAAAGGAAAAAAGAAATAATGTTTCCTGGGACAATAATTCACCCATCATGGATGAGATAATTCCCGAATGCAAGAGCACCTTGAGGAACCAACAAATTTATTTATATGCTCCCTAGATTTGTAAGTGATCCCAGCCAGGTTCATTTTCCTATAAAGGAGTTTTGTTTACTTTTTCTTTTCTTTTCATTTTTTTGAGACAGGATCTCTCACTACATTGTTCAGTCTGGCCTTGAACTCACTCTGTAGCCCAGGCTGGCTGCATGGTGATCTCCCTGCCTCAGCCCAGTGCTGAGTGAGATCAAGGCCAGCCTGAATTACAGAGCAAGACTCTGTCTCAAAAAAAAAAAAGGACAAGAAAAATGACCATGCATCCGGGTATTGGCTTCTTTCCTGGAATCCATGGCCTCTGGTTGTTAATGGGGTGGTTTCTGGGACATTTCTCCCCGCGTTCAAGCCATGCTTCCTTTCTTTTTTCTTCATAATTCTCAGTTTACTTGGTGGAATTCAACAGGAATTTACTTACATAAGTTACTTTAAAAACCTGCAGAATACTCGCTGAGAGATGTGTGCTGGTATCCTGAGCAGTTAGAAAGCCCTGACCTGGTTGGTCCAGTCTTAAGAGCCACTTTGAGCAACAGAGATCATCTTTCGGGATGAATGAAAGAACTAGGCCTCACCTGGTGAAACTCCAAGAGGAAGAGTGCTGAGTTTATTCAACATTCACATAAGCTACTGCCCAGTTCCTCCTGTACCATTCAAGGGGCTAGGACTATAGCATAATCACAGCAGAGAAGACCTACCCTTAGAGTTTGCCTCCTGAGGCATGAACTGGATGCCTGGGAACTGGATTACATATGCTCCCAAATTCGTCTTTTCTTTTTTCTTTTGAGATAGGGTCTTGCTATGTAGTTCAGGCTGGTCTTAAACTCACTGTGTATCCCAGGCTGAACTTGAATTCATGGCAATCCTCCTGCCTCAGCCTCCCAAGTGCTGGGATTAGACATGGATCAGCACACCTAGCTCATTTCCTAATTATTTTGTGGATGTCTTCTTTCTTCATCTAGATTGGAAATCTTTGAAGACAGGAATCACATTATACTTCTGTATGGCCTCCCCTACTGCTTGACAGAATGCTAGGCACACTATAAGTAGTTAATATTTATCAGCTGTCAGTGAACCAAGGGTGGGGGGAATTGCAGACAATGCAAAGAATAGGAGAGAGGCAGATACACAGATAGGAATTGGGGGAGAGAATGCACAGCAAACTGGTAGCAGTGGCTCTTGCAGGGTGGATATTTGTTTTCCAAGCCTAGAAGAACAAGCCTCTGTTGTGGACAGAATGTTTACGTCCCTTCAAAATTCATATGTTGTGAGTCTAACCTTGAGCTTGGCTGTATTTGGAGACAAGGCCTCTAAGGAAGTAATTAAGGTTAAATGAGATCATAAAGGTAGGAACTCTGATCTGATAGAACTAATGTCCTTATAATGAGAGACACCAGAGGCCTTGATCCCTCTTCACACATAAGCGCTAAGGAAAGATCATGTGAGGTCAAATGGAGAAGACAGCTGTATTTAAGTCAAGAAGAGTCCTCACCAGGACCCTCACCCTGATCTCTGACTTCTGGCCCCCAGAACTGTAAAAAACTAAATTTCTTTTTTCTTTTCTTTTTTCTTTCTTTCCCCTTCTTTCTTCCTTTCTTTTTCTTTCCTTCTTTCTTCTTTTCTAAATTACTGATTTTTTTTCAGTGCTAGGGATTAACCCAGGACTACACTCCCAGCAAGAAAATACATTTTTATTGTTTAAGACATCCATTCTGGCCGGGCGTGGTGGTGCACACCTATAATCCCAGCACTTGGGAAGCTGAGGCAGGATGATCACTGTGAGTTTGAGACCAGCCTGAGCTACATAGTGAGTTCCAGGTCAGTCTCAACTACATAGTGAGACCTGTCTCAAAAAACAAACAAACAAAAAAAAAGACATCCATTCTGTAGTATCTTGTTATGACGGTCCTAGCAGTATCAACTAAACCAGAATCACAGATTCTCTAAAGAATAACATTTATTTGGGAGTAGCAGAGCATTACTAAGGAAAAACATATAATTTACTATGGGTATAAACTATAGATATATTCAAAGAGATTGAAAAAAGAAGTTTTTAGATGTGAAATGAGTAGGATTCTGTAGGACTATATATTTTTGAAATAATATCCCTTGACTAGAAGGATCAAGGGTGGCATTGGCCTGAAATTAAATAGTTGTTAGGCAGAAGACATCCTTGATAAAATATTTTTGGGTAAGATTCTGATGACTTCTGTGCAATATGAACCCAGCAGTCTTTTGTGACTAGTTCTTCTTAGCAGGTGTTCATGCAGGATACCGCCTTCATAACTTCTTGGCTGTATTTATTTATTTTGGTTAGAGCTTGACAAAAGCAACTCCGTTATAATTTTGACAGCTTTAACAACAGCATCTGAGTGAATAAAATACTTAGGAACAAATTTAACCAAAGAGCTAAAACACTTATACACTGAAAATTGTGAAAGAAATTTAAGACCTAACTACATGGAAATATATCCCATGTTCATGGACCCGGAGACTTAATATTGTTAAAATACTCTGGTAATATTCTCTAGAGGGATTCATAATTCAGTGTAATTTCCATCAAAATTCCAATAGCCTTTCCTGAAAAAGCTGATCCTCAAATTCATATGGGACTACAAGACAGCCTGGAGAGCAAAAACAATATTGAAAAAGAAAATGAAGTTGGAATACCCACACATTCAGATTTTAAAACTTACTGCAAACCACTGTAATTAAAACAGTGTGGTA